CAGAAGCCAGTCACAAAGGACCAGAGTAAAGCTTTGGGGATGAGGGGGTATTTGGAGGGTAACATCAAAGGGGTGTGCGATGTCTTCTCAGAGTAATAAAAATGTTTAAAACTTGTGTTAGTGATGAATGCAGAACCCTAAGGGCCACTGAACTCTGTACTTTATTTTTTAGTTTTTTTTTTTTTTTTGGACTGGTAAGGGGATCGCATCCCTCAGCACGGTGTCCACACCACGCGCAGCCACTGAGCACACCGGCCATCCCTATATAGGGATCCGAACCCGTGGCCTTGGTGATATCAGCACCGCACTCACCCAAGTGAGCCACGGGAGGCCCCTTGAACTGTGTACTTTAAAAGAGTTAATTGCGTGGTATGTGAGTATGTCAAGAAAGCTGTTAAAACTGAATAAAGGATGCATTCAGGATCACTTATTGGGGAGTTGTTTAACACTCGTTTCTAATGGCTGTAGTTATATCTTATTTCTAAACAAATGTAAGGAAGCAACAGGATTGCTTTGCTCAAGGTTCGTACACATCCCGCCACAGAGCTTCTGGCAGTACGCTACCAGAACTTCACGCCTTAGACCAAAATAGAAATGAACGTTTTTTTTTTTTCTATCACTTTGTGCTGCAACATCTAGTTCAAATTGCCTAGAACCAAGCAAACCAGGATTGGACTTAGGAATCAAGGGTCCTGCAGTGTTGCTACAGCAACCCAAGCCACAGCTGGGGACTGGTGAGTATCACGGGCCTGTCATAGGACAAGGTGGCCTCATGCCCAGCGTGGTAGAGCTCCGCACCCCTCCTGGGGCCTGGCTAGACCACAGCCCTTCCTCACTGGTCCCACACAGCACAGGAGGGCTGGTTGTACATTTATGTTACTAAGGAAACCAGAGCCATTCTTTACATGGGTTCAAAAGTGTTCCAAGTGGCTCATGGACTGTTTGCCACCCTGGTACATACCTAGCCCCATCCACCCTAAGGCAGGCAGATGCTGGAGGGCACCGAAGGGACCTGAGGTCCTCTATATCCTTGAGAGGCACGGGTGTGGCCAAACTCTGAAGTTGCCCATTTCGTCCCCTTGGACAATTCTGATTGTCCCGTTCACACTGCAAAATTTAATAAATGGTTGTTAAATCTGAGAACAATCTCAGCTCATATGCAGCCCCTGTACCTGACAGAAAATAGTGAACAAGATAACACTATGCCAAGCCATTAGGGAATAGAGTTCAATATGCACAGAGAAGTTAGGCAGGGCACAGGCAAAGATGTGACAGTTTCGGTAAGATTTTGAAACATGGATAAAATATGATTAACCCTGAGATGAAGACAGAGGTAGGTCAGGTATGAGAACCTAATATGTGAGCACACATTTCTTCTTCTATCCTATTCCCAACTTTTAGTTCCTTAACCATTTTACTCTTTAAAATACTCCAACTACTTCTAAGGTGAAACATGGGCATTTTTTTTTAAGTGACAGATGGCTGAGTAAGCAGCAGTTTTACTGCATCTCTGAATGTGATGCACAAACACAGCGCTGGTGGTGGCTAGAGGGGCTGATGTGATCCTTGCTTCCATATTGGAGTAGAAGACATACATGACAGTCTCAAGAAAACTCCACCAGACTTTTATTCCTAATCGCCCACCAGCTGCAACAAACAGCAAGTAGGAAAAGGAAAAAACTTACTCATCTGGTGGCCTAGGTATTTACAATTTCATTTTCACTTAGGAGAAATAAACAACATACATCTAGTACGAAGCACAAACGAGTTAGTGGACTAACATTTAACTGATGATGATGGAGCACGGGCAGCTCTGGAGGCTTAGGCAAGGTGGTCCCAGATCTGTCAAATGGGGATCACACTGACTAGACATATGGGGGATCCATGGGGCACCCCAGCACTTAGGCACAATGACTTTACAATGAAGGAGCTCCAATAACTAGGCCAAGTTAATATTTATGTGCCAAATTGAGAAAGAGCCACTTCGGTTGTCGTATTATGTACAGATAACATGCTATTTTGTTTTTTGATCCAATTAAGGATGAGCTTTACTCCATTTTGGGTTCAGGAACATCGCAATAAAGAGCTCATCACCCATTTCATCTCTGAGACCTTTGGACAAACGCTGGCTACTTTCATAACCTATGCCTGGGTATCCTTTGGGCAAGCTCCTGCTGTCTGAGACAGCGGGGTGTGGGAGCCCACTCTGGCCCAGGTGGCTCAGGGCAGGAGGTGTGCATAAAATATGGATCCTCACAGGAAGAAAACACTCTGAAGGGTCATAACATATTTGAAACTCATGCCACATAAAACAGGTGTCATTTTTTACTTTTATTTACGAAAAGAAAAGGGGGTGGGGGAGGATGACAACAGCGGTTTTCACACAGTAGACAAGTTAGCACTGAAAAAAAAAGGGGGGTGTACTTGCCACCAGTCTGCTTTGCAGCTTTATAATTGGTAAATCTGATGCAGTTTGTCATTATATTACTACTTAGCAAATTTATAATTGGAAAATTAGGGATTATGAATCACCGTAACTGTGCTACAACTAAGACAAAAACCTAAATAACCCATAAAAAAATCACTAAAATAAACCATAAATATGTGATGCACATCAGTGTAAGGAAACCGATTTCGTAAACATTTTCTCCAACATTACGTGCATGAGAAAAATTCAAAACACTGCACTCAATAGAGAAAAGGGCTACTCTGATTTACATACAGAAAGGTATTAATCATTAAAGCGTTGACTAAACTGAGAGACATATTTGTGTTGCTGTGTACAGCACTCCTGCAACAGTCCAATGTTCCACATTTAATGACATCATCGTAACTCTGTTTTCTCTTGTAATTTTGCCATATTGGCACTGCTGTGAAGTCACTACACTGTAGAAGGGAAAAAAATCATTTCTTCCCTAGAAGAATCTAAAATTTCAACAGCTTATAAACTTTTATGGAGAAATCTCACTGGGTACCTGCATCAAGCTGTAGCAACAGTCTTGGTTTACAAGGTACTGAAGTCAAGAAGGGAAAGAGGATAGGACAGTTAAGGAAAGGACACACCAGGGGCCCACCCAGAAGGACAAACAGCTGTCCAGCTTCAGTGGATTAGGCCCAGCAATAGAGTCATCAAGAGAAGACCCACTGGGTGCCTGGCACAGTGCAAGCAGGACAGCCACGATCTGACCTGCGCCCAAGGTCCCATTACCACACCCTCTTAAGGGAAAGCCAATTTTTGTCAAGTTCCTAAATACTCAGTAATTCCAATGAAACACCATTTGCATTATTTGCTGCTTGACCTATAGACATCGGCTTCCAGTCTGTGCATACTCTAGGACCACAACACCACATCTTCTGTCACTTCTCCCTTATTGGCATTGGACATTTGGAATTTCTTCAAAGACACTTACCCACCTTTTCCTGCTCTCCAAAGCCAAGGAGGAGCTGCAAATAGCCGAGCTGTTCTTTATTCTCCTGATATGTGCACATGTGTGTTCACTGTGGTGCATTTCATCATATGAAAAGCCTAAACATGGATAGGAAATGGCCAGCAGGAACTTGGCTCTGACTACAGTCCAGGGGTGAGGAAATCCAGCCTATCTCAAATCCTTTCCAAAGGTGCAATCAACTCTCAACCTTCTCTAGGGTAACTACAAACTAGCAAAAAAGAACCAGTTCTTTCTGCTTTGGCCATTAAAGTCACACAAATGGAAAATCCATTTCCATCTCCTTGTCCCTCCAAAAGAAAGTACGGCTTTCTTAGCTGATTTTGTCTGTATGGGAGTGTACGACCAGCTGTTCTTCTGGCATTTGTTGAGTGTCTGAATTTCTTCCTAGATTTTTGTAGTTCAAAGGAAAGCCTTTAGTGAAAATGCTGAACCAAGAGTAAGAGAATGACATGGTCAGAATGGAAGCCAAATGAGATGCAGAAGCTGTATTATACCTAAAACACAGAAAGATGCCATTGTTATGAATAAGCAGAATTAACTACATTCCTGTAAGTTTAGTGCATTGCATTTTTAGAAAAGGGAAATACCCCCACCCCCAAGAAAAGGTTCCTGCAACACTGAACAGTTTGTGTGACTATTCTAACGTGACCACCTGTCTGCAACCAAACCACAGTTAAGAGCAATGAGATCTCTTGTGTCGTAGGCTGCAGTGGCCCCATCAACCACTAATGCTGCATCTGGTGAGACTGAAGTGCTCTGCTTTCTAACCTTACAAAGCAGATTGCATTAGCCGCAGGACTATTTCCCACTTGCATGGACAGTTTTCTTGGGTCTGCTGAGGCTTCTGACAAAATAATAGTCAAACTTCAATCTGATAGTTTAGGAATTAAGATTAAATTAAATGTTAATGGTTTCCTCCAAAAACACATAAACTAAATCACCTCTCATTGCATTAAAGAAATGAGGTAGGCAAAAAAAATAAACATCTGGATTGAGGGTTTTTTTTCTTCTGCAAGTGCAGACTGTGCTAAAGCTGTTGTTGCACTTCAAGGTTTAAATAAAAATTAAACCTTTAACTGAGGCAGTGCTAATACTGTCACACGACAGAGTTCTGGCCATTACACAAAATGCACATATTTTCTTTTTCTTTTTTTAGAATGATTTGCTCATGATTTAGGCAAAACTGGGTACACAGAAAAATGACTGGGTTCTGGGCCACGATCCACCCCCCCACCCCCCAAAATCCAAAGAAACAAAATGAGACCCTTCAACCTATCCCACTCCACCTCCCTAGCCCCACCCACAAAGGCTATCCTAGTAACTGTCTTTCACTTTTTATAAATATTAACTTCTTAAACCTGCACCTTTCTTTTGTCCACATATCTTTTGTCACATTAACAAAAACGGAATGTCAGTTAAATACATTGTTAATGTTACTATATTAAATCTGCTCTCTGCTTCGTCAACCTGCTCCTTATACCACCACTTTCACCTCCTTGTGCCCACTGCCAGTAAAACCAACAGCATGTTCACTGTCGCCACCTTCAGACACCCATAAGACAGTCATTCAGAGACGAGGAATTCTGGAGCTGCAGGAAAGTGTCTGCTTCCCAGTCTGATGCTCAATCCCCAACACTTAAAGCACCTGATGGTAGAATCTGAACAGCACCAAGCTGCATTGCAGCCTTGATTTATTTTTGAGTAAAGAAAAGAAGAGAACAGGCATAAACTGGTAAAAGAAGAACAGGAAGGAAGGGAGAGAGAGAATCCAGCACGTGAGGTCTGCACACACACCTGTCCTGGCTGCACCAGTGCAGCTCCGAGCTCCAGTTGCAAGGAATTCCAAGTTCTCAGGACCCTGAATACCCTGGAGGCCAGCAATCCTGGATCACACTGCTTCTACCAGCTCAGAAGCAAAGTCCTGCCTAAAGTCATGAAATAAACCTGACTGCTGCCACCAGACTGAACAGAGGCAAAGAACACCTGCCAAAACAAAAGAATGGAAGGAAGTTACTACAGCCACAGGGTACCTTCCATGGGAGCAGGGCTTCCTGTGGTCCCCAGCCAGAAAACTTAAGCCACCACCACACTCTACACTGCCATGTGCCATAAGTTTAGACCCTAAAGAACCTTTTCAAAAGAAACCATGGGATAATTTATTATTTGTAAGAAGTGACGATCTATAGCTTATTTTATAATAACTAAAGATTATTAACTGGGTAATTCCTTATACATTGCCATATTGAGAAAACTCAAAGGAAAAAAAATATGATGTCTCTGAAATTGGGTTATTTCTTTCCACTTCCACTGTTAACACCTTCTAAAAGACAAACATATTTGAAAACTGCAATGAGCAACAGGAAAGACCCCTCAGCAACTAATTTCACTCTTTTTTAAAAAATTAGGTAAAAAAATGTATTAATCTCTTCATATGACTCTATAGGTAAAGCAATATGCTTTATTGTGTGCCTTTTATTAATATGTTAAGGGATATGATGTCATACATGATAAAAATACTGAAAAGCCTGAATTTCAAAGAATGTTATAGTTAAGGCTACGTTAAATATACTCAGAAAAAACCGTAAGCCAAAAAACTGGCAAAACCCTGGATTATGCCTGAGTTGAATAGATTTTCAAGTTAACAGATTTGGGAGATACTATACAGGAAAAAACCGTAAACCCCATTCACAAATAAGGCACAGGACTGCAGGAGACAGTGGGCTGGTGGGGATGTGCCGTTTGCGTTTAGTGTGTGGTTATGCAGCAGCAGGACCAGCTGTCAAGGAGATGTGAGGCTCTCTTCTTTCTCATGTTGAGTTTCTGAGTTTAATCTGAGAAGTCAGCCTGCAGGTTGGTGCTAAAATGTTTGCTATATCTCAATATGAGACAAGAGGTGGAAATATCCTTAAGAGGAAGTTTCTTTTTTTTTTTTCCTTTTTGTCTTTTTCACTGACCGGTAACGGGATCGTAACCCTCGGTGTCACGCCCGTACCGGGGACCGGCAACGGGATCGCAACCCTCGGTGTTGCACCCGCACCACACTCAGCCAGTGAGCGGGAACCGGTCTCCACATGGGATCCGAACCCTCAGCGGGAGCGCCGCCACACTCCCAACCGGCGCACTTCTCCAGTGCGCCACCGGGCAGGCCCAAGAGGCAAGTTTCTAAGGCCGCAGTGCATTGCCTTAGGTGATCAGACATGCCTTCATCCTACTGGACAGAGTGGGGGAAGGCTGGACTTGGTAAAGGTCAGCACCACCCTCAATGTCCTTCCCACAGCAGGCTGGGATGGGCCAGCACCCTGGGCTATCGATCTGCTCCACAACCAGGCTGGTTTGGGAGGGACTCTCCAAGAGAGAGTCACCGCCAGAGCAGATAGGGATGTTGTGGCCAGTTCTGAAAAGGAAAGGGGCTTTGACATCCTAGCGAGGTGCAGGAGTTGTGGTGCTTCTGCACAAAATGAATTCTACTGTTTAACATTTCTGATGTGCAAACCAGGAAGCTATTTCACTGCTCAAAAAGCAGACTAACAAGTGTTATCTTTCTGCTACACATCAGAGAAGAATCTTTACCTCACCCAACTGCATGGGTGGTTCCTTCCACTCATAACAGAATCCCATCCAACTAAATCGGCAGCTTTAAACTTCCCTATCCCCAAATGAAATACAGCCTAGACAGGTCACATAATACGGTGAAAAAATAATCCATGAAAGCAAACATATGATGATTTCTACAGACACAAATACTTACATCCCCTCACAATAAAAAACAAACTAAAATGCACTCCAATCCCAACAAACTTGCATACAAGTGATGTCTAAAATTTCCTGGATGAATTTATTTCAGAATCTATCCAAGCGCCAAGGAAATTCATCACCAAACTCCATGGAAAATAAACCACTGCTAAAAGATAGCAGAACTAAAAAGAAGCCATAAGGTAACTATTACCTGTCATTGCGTTCACTTAGAAATTTTAGTCTTTGACATTACCTGTCATTGCATTCACTTAGGAATTTTAGTCTTTGAGCTCTTTTGTGCATAAACACACATCCAAGTGGCCAGTTTCCACAGAGCGGATCTCTATAGCCTTTTCTCCCAAGACCATTGTCTGATTGGATTGAGTACATGCTTTCGGGAGGAAAAAAAAAAGCAAATCATTCAAGACAAGGAAACAGCCTTGAAAAGATGTACTTATGTCACACCCACCCACCCACAAACACACACCCCTACCTAAATGGCTAGCATTTGAGGATTTTTGTTTTTAAGAAACTTTGCCTTCCTAATTGCCTAGTCTATCCTAGCAAGTGGTAATCTTAATCAATGGTTCAATCTATTAATTTCCCTCAGGCTTTACATGCTTATCTTGAAAAATGACCCACTGAGTTTACTTTATTAGTGCACATGTTTTCATCAATCCAGTCATAAGAGAAGGCACGAAGAAGAAATGATGAGTAGACAGACGTGACTTAATTGTAATAAAACAAAAATAGTTTTGGGATATGAATATAAACCTATGAAAATTTCAAACATCAGCCCTTATTCTCAAATGCAAAGCAGAAGACTGTGTATGAGGCTGTGTGTCTGGCTGTAGCTCTGCCACTCCCAAGAGCAAATCGCTTCCCTTTCTGTCTCCCTTTCCTTTCCACAGATTGGTCAACAAAAACACCTGTCCTATTTTCTCCAGATATCTTAAGTTAAATTAAATGAGAGACTGTTGAGTTTTAAAAAATATAAAATAATTACTTGGATTTTGTTCTAAAATAGACCAATAACTATTTCCATGGTCTGCAACTGAACTTTCCACTATCTATTGCCATCTCTTCTGCTAAATGGCCAGAAGAGTTAAACCACAGGTAAAATTAGTATGATAAATATATGCAGTCTTAGAGAAGGCTCCACTTTC